TCACCTCCCCAGCCAAATTAATATATTCCACTGTGTCCTGATCATAGAGTGAAACTAAAAAAAAAAATCCCCAAATATTTACATTCTGCTTTCTTGGGATCCTTTCTCAGATCCTCATTGCCCAGCAAGGAAGAAAGACCATTTCAGTAGTTCGGGTCTGGAATGCATGGGGCTCAATCACACACATGGTAGAAACAAGTAAGCAGATCTGCTTGCCCAGTCAATGGAAAGCAGATCAAGAGCCCGGTGCTGGTATTTTTCCCCACTGGAGTTAAAGGAGGCAGATAAGGTTTTTTCCTTCTTCTATTTCTTCTTGCACCTTGTCACTGGATGTGGCTATTTCAGCTTGTGCCGAGAAGACTGCACAGATGAACGTCAGAATAGTGCCACCAATAGCTGTGTAGAAAGCCCAGCCCAAGGAGCAGTCTCCGAGTTTGTAAGCAGAAGCATAAGGTCCACAATAGCTTATTGCTTTCTGGCATCCCCAACCTGCAGGGTAAAGTATCAAGCCTAAGATAAGGAAGAGCCCTAGAAATAAAAACAGAGAGACAGAAGTTTAATACACGATCAGTTTAACAACATGCGTAGTAATGGCTATCATGGTCACTACTCACTCCTAAGTACTAGGATTAGGAGAAGAACCCTTCCTCATCCATCCAACCTTCCTTTATTAATTATTCCCTAGTATATACACCATGCAGTGTTTTATCTAAACTTGGAGCTATCCTTTTTTTCTTCTGAAAGGCTTATTTCATATGATAATAGCCTAGTTCCTAATTTTAATCTCTGTGTTTCTTTACATCCTTTGTTTTCACACATTATTGCTAGGTATACAGAGCTTGCAAAACATTTCAGCAACTCTGCCTTCTGCTTATACTAGCACTTTTCAAATATTTAGGAATGTATGCATCCACTTTTGAGTTTGTGTTTAGCTAGCCCTCATTCAGTTTTATTTAGTCATTCATCATATACATTTTTATATTTTTTCCCCCTGGATTTTGCTTACATTGCTTTTCTTGCCTGGGGGGGGGGGGAAATCTCACACTGCATCTGCTTATTTGGCTGCCTTAGGACACAGTAGAAAAATAATACTGCCAGTTCAGTAAGCTGCTTTTGTAATGAAGGAATTCTGGAGTCAGCCCCAAACAAATGGATCTGTGCACAGCCAGCGCATAGGTCACACTGGGATCCTCTAAACGAGCGACTGACTCCTGCAGAAGGAAAGCACATTTCTAGTGATGTTGGAGCAAAAGCCTCAACTGCCCATCTTGCTAAACTGCCTGAACACTCTGCTGTGCCTCCGGCTGGAAGTTAAAAGCTCACACTAGATGTTTTGCCTGTCCAATAGTCTCTCAAAGCCATAGTTTTCTCTCCTATGAGGACCAGTCTTTATCTAAGCAGTGAAGGGATTCATTAAGGAAATTAAAAGTCACATTACATGGTATGTCTTTGTACAAAGATGAGAGATTTAATCAGAACGCCTACTATGCTAGTGGCTACAGTTCTCTCTTATGGGCCCTGCTAAAAAAATCACAGTGAGTTAAAAATAGATCTCCCTCCTACAAGATATGTAGGAACGATCTAAACATCCAGACAGATCATAGGTATCAAAATTTTGCTTTGCATTTTCTTCAAAATTTTACTTAGAAGAGCAGAAAGAATTATAAAAAATAGTTTTTGCTTAAACACAACCAGTTAATACAGAAAATGAATACAGCCTTCCAGATCCCATAAATATTACCAATTTATTTGTCCTGCACCGTAAAGCCCTTTATTCAACCTAGCACTTTGATGAAAATAGCTGGTAAAGGTGCTGTCACCTTCCAGAAGTGGGCTGAAAGTTGTGCTTTTTATGTATGGTGTTGGTTCATCCATTAGATTTCATCTAATCCCAAAACTTCTACCAAGTAATAACATAGAAAACAGTCCTCTTTTCTCCCCTACACTAAGAGATTCCCAAGAACAGCTGTAAAGACTTTGCATCTTCTTCAATTCAGTTAGACTAGCCTATGCTGCAGGACTTTACATTTCCTTAATGGTTTGTTTCAAAAATTCAGTCAGATGCAAGAAAACTTCCTCACTGAGAAAGAAAAGCTTGGTCCTAGCTAGTAAGCAGTTAATATACACAAAATGCAAAAACCATCATCCAACTGTCTAAAATTAATGTCTATGAATGCCACACATTTCACAAAAGAAAGTCCTTGCTCCATCATTTTTCTAATGATGACAAAACACCATGGACATGAATGAACTAAATGCCATTATTGTCTGGGGCGGCAAAATCTATTAGTGACTGATACTAATCTCTGTGAAGGGATTTCATCACTGCTTACATTTAAGAACCAATGACAAATTTTATGCAGTGTTTCCTGGCTGATTGGCGAAACTACATTAAGTATAAAGTATTGCTTTATCTTGGACAGACCTGGATAAGCTGTGCTTTCATCCTGCTGAGCCCTGCAGCCGTTTCAGACTAAACACCGGCAGTTCCTTCTCCTCTGTTCATCACTAGTTTCCTGTTCTGCGTAACCGGCATGACCACACTATGTATTTTTCTGACTGTACATTGCTGTGAGCCAGTTGCCATTTTCTCTGAATGAGCACAAGCCCTTTGGTAGTTAAAACCCACCATCACTGAACTAAGAAGCTGGATCTGAAATGCAAATGTAGCAGCTGCCAACATTTTAAAGTTTACCACTCCATCACTCACAAACCTAGAGAGCCTGTGCTTAACAGCAAACCTGGCTTATGGCTGAGTCACAAGCAGTACTAAGAAGCTACAGCCATCTCTTTTTACCAAAACTAGAGCACTGAACAACTCCTGAAAGCTACTAGTTCATGGTATGTATGCCCCAAGCTGAAAAGCCGTTACCCAGAACTCAGCCCCTGCAAAAGGCTGTAGCACTGCTGTCAAGCGTAGCCATCAGGAATTTACTGAATTAAAACTTTTTTTTTTTTAAGAGTACAGAAAATTCCTGGAGAAATAGTGACTACAGCCCTTAATTTGATAAACTACAGCTGTTTTCTCACCAAACAAAACAAAATTTGCTGAAAAGTCTTAACTAGGGACTTGAATATGGTCAGACTCTCACCTGCTTTTTCCTTCAGATAGCTAACTTTGTGAATCCTATACTAGCCTAGCATACTAGAAGAAAAAAAAAAAATTTCCCCACCAAACCTACCTTCTACTACTCCATTTTAGTGCAGACAGAAAGCTTCTCAGGACATGCACCTCTTCACATTATCACTAATATTTATCATAATTTCTCATTTCATTAATACCTGGTTCCTCCTTGTTAGGCAAAGTGAATAGATGATTCAATTAATCAAATTCAACATACCCACAACAGAAACAGCACTCCTTGGATTTCACACTGACCAAAAGCAAGTAGAAAGGCACAGACTTCTCATCACATACTCAGCTCAAAGCTCCAATACCTGGAGCAATGCCTGAGCTGTTCACGGTGCAGACATGCCTTCCTGACTCTTCCCACCTGTCCAAAAAGGGGTGCTCAAGTAAAAAGATCAAGACAAGCTTTGCCTCCTGCTTCCCATTAACTACAACAGAGACGGTCACAGGCTACAGAGCTCATCTCAATGACTCCTGCAGTTTAAACAAAATAGAAGCTGCTTTACCACCCACCAACAGAGCAAGCCATGGGCTAAAACAGAAGCCAGCAATCCAAAGCACTTAACTGTCCAGACTACCTGTAACCAGAGTAGTGGCTTCCAGAGACACACACACTCCCCCCCCAAAAAGAACCACCTCTCTGCTCCTAGGAACATGGATGCAGAGGGAAAAATACCCATGTGGAAAGAACAAGGTAAGATATAGCAGGGGTAGCAAGGGCAGGAAAGGTTGTGATGCTGCTTGAAAAGTCATGGTCTGCTTTTAAACAGGCGAAACGATTAAATGCAATATGAATAGCTTGGCAGTCTCTGCACTTTTCCACCTTTGACCCGTGTAGCACTGCACAACCATTTTATGCAACACAAAGCCAGAGGGCTGTTTCTACAGCTAACATTGCAGCCTTGATCTACATCTAACACACATGTAAGCAGCTGCAGTTGAGCAAAAACCAGTCTGTGGCGAGATGATCCACAAAGGGAAAAAACATGGTACATTTTCAGTGCTGATTTCTCATACCAGTGTCCACAGGGTAGAGCCTGGCCAGGCCCCTTACATCTCTTTGCTGCTTTGATTGATAGAAGTTTAAGCTTAACTGCCTATAATCCTGCCTCTCTGTAGCTGCTGCTCAGTCCCTGGCGCTTGCCTGCCTGCAGCTCTTTCATTTGGGTTATTTATTTGCATTACCACAGAGCCTGGCAGCTCTGCTCACAGTTCCTGCCTCCAATAGCCGACAATCTGCTTTTCAGACAAGGCACACAGAGATGGAGCGCAAGGCACAACTGAGGTAACTCCAAACACCATACCAGCAATAGCTTAATGAAGTCCATAGTCTGCTAGTTACCAAGTTTTTCTTTTACAGCCTCTGCAACAAGAAGGTCTTAAGAAAAATGTTGAAGGAAGAGAAATGGGTTTTCAGTTGCTTGTGGACAGCACAAAGCAGCATGGGGTGTGTGGTTTTGTTTTCTGAAGAGTCCCCGGGGGCGGGGGGGGGGGGGGCGGGGGAGGGCGCTCGGAAGGCTGCAGGGAGCCAGCGGCAAAGTATCTTGCCAGTGCACGAAACACGGGAGACCACGGGCTGAAGGTCACAACGGGCTGGAAAGGGGAGCCAAGTGCCTTATCCCTGGCATTCATTTATACTCACAGCGCACAGGAACACACCACCAGCTCCAAATACGATCTACAGACTTGTATAAAAGGTGCTCTCTGGATTGATTAACAATTACAATTCTCAGGTTTCTTGAATTTGATTCAGTTACTTTTACACTTGACTCGTTCAAATATTACTTCTGTATTTAATCTGTATCGTGTGGTTTTCTAAACCATTTAATGCTGTAAATTAAGAATAAAGCACTTAAGCTTTTGTTAGCCATTGACGTACAAAGCTTAGTTTTCTGTTGTATAATTTCATGTCAGCATAATCTGATAAAGCAACAGTTATCTCCTGTCAACAGTTTGCCTTGAAACGTATCTGGCAGGAGGACAGTAAATACTAATGATAGAGATTTCTTTTTCTTAATAAATCAGTTTTTGCTCTTGTCCCAGTGTCTTTGAAGAGAAGCCAATCTTCAAGAGAAAGAACAGAGAAGAAAAATAGAGTGCTGTCTGAAGAAAAGTTTTTTGCAACTGATCCTTTGAGTTCTTTGTGCTGACATACAGTAAATGAGAGTTTTAATTCACAGAGAATCTACCTGTGGAATTATTGCTGTTTCTTCCCCTGCTGGGAGGAACAAATTAATTTTGAAAACATTACAAGCTGTTTTCCACTGTGCTTCTCTACAGGCCCACAGAGCTCAGGCTTGCTCTGCTCTAGATTTAATCCCCTCTCTGAGCACAGATGCACTGCTGGGAGTGCAGGTTCTGCTGTACATATACTCTTGCTCCTACTTCTTAATAAATC